GGTATCAAGAGCAGCCGATGCATCCTCAAAAAGTGACTGTGTGGTGTGCATTGTGGTCAAAAGGCATCATCGGACCTTACTTTTTCGAAAATGCGGCCGGGGACGCCGTTACCGTCAATTCTGAGCGATATCACGTGATGACAGAGGACTATTTTTTGCCCCAACTTGAAGGAATGGATATGGACGATGTTTACTTCCAACAAGACGGTGCAACATGCCACACAACCAACGTCAATATCCATCGATTGCAGTCCTTCTTCGGTGATCGCGTGATTTCGCGCAGAGGCTATGTGCCATGGCCACCAAGATCGTGCGATTTGACTCCCTTGGACTTCTTTTTATGGGGATATTTGAACAGCAAAGTCTACGTCAACAAACCAGCCACCCTCCAAGAACTCAAAAACAACATCATTGCCGAGATAAATGCCATCGAACCGACCATGTTGCAAAATGTCATTGAAAATTTCGACCATCGTGTGGACGTGTGTAAATCCAGTCGTGGTGAACATTTGAGCGATATTATTTTTCATACATAAATGGTATAAGTGAATCTTCAAAATAAAGTACCCAACTTGATTTGAATATCAATCTTTCTTGTTTTAATATGCGTTTACTTTCCTGCGTCCGTATTTTTTTTAAATGATTATTATCCTCTGAAACGATTTCTTTTCTACTTGGTTTTTGGCATTCTTCGCCGCGGCCACTGTACCGATTTCCAAAAATTACAAGGCCTTTTCGTCCCTGGCGTAGGTGCAACCAAAGCCCAGCGGAGAGATAGACCGACAGAAATGAGAATACTCGAGACCAGGTCTTATATGGGCCTTGTTTAGGGTGACGAGGTCATCGGGAGAAAAGTACTTCTTAGCCGTAAGGACTCGCGCAGACAAACAATCGTCCAGCGATCAAGCGTTCTAACACAGACACGAACACTGCGTTCCGTTTTACGAAGGTTATTTGTAGGTAAAACATGTATTTCGATACTTCGTCTTCAGAAGACGAAGCATTGCTTTTGTCGATTTCCGAAGAGTCTATTAAGATAAAAAGATACTCGGTGCGTCCGATTAATTGTGAGAGAGATGAAAAAGGAGAGTTCAGTGTCCTTTTTCCTGCACTGCTTGAAGATGAAGAACGATTTTTTATTTACTACCGAATGTCATTTAGTAGTTTTTTAATGAATTGCATTATTATATAAAAAATGGGAATAGAAAAACAAGACGCCAACTGGTGAAAGGCTATATCTACAAAACATTGGCTGTATATTCCCATTTCCGTGGCTATTTCAAGCCATGCTGCATTTTTTTTATAGTCTGCGTTACTAAGATCATATAAAAAACGCCTTTCGCTCACTAAATCAAATTCTTGCGAACGAGGCGTTCCACGAGTTCTTTGTATTCCTGACAATAGAACGCAAGAACGCGAGCGTTCACACTGATCGGCGCGGTCTGACTTCCGCTGTGTCTGCGCGACTCTGTAGAGAACTACTAGTTTCAAAGAACGTGGAACGCAGAACGCGGAACACGGACTGCTTGAACGCTGTTGTCTGCGCGGGCCCTAAATACATAGCCTAGCTATAGTCCTCGGTGATCTGGGCTCTGACAAGCTTTGGCAGAACTCGACCATCCATCGAAACCGGATGAGCGCTAAGACGCTTTTTGTTCGTCAAGGTATACTTCATCTGAAGTCACTTGAAACACTGTGAAATACCGGGTGCGTTTTATATATCTATATTTAACACGCTCTGTTGCTGCAAAAATCGCCAAATTTCGCAGCAAATATCCCCCGTATAAGATCAAAGGCAGTTTCACCGGTCCACGTGGAGTAAAGCACGCCTATGCGTGGACATAGCCAATGAGACAGCGTGTATTTCAGAGCTCCGAACAAGTGCAAGTGGCTACTGAAAATTGAAACAGTTTATAGCCAGTGCCGTGTAGCGGTGAATAAACGTGTTTTCTTTAGTCTGTCCGTGTTTTTTCATAGATTTTATTAGTTTGTGTGTTTTTGACTTTTGAATACTCTGTTTACTTGTTGATTTAATTGTTGTGTTGATTGTTCTTGTGTGTCCTAAATATGGCTCTTTGGAGACCTTGGGAAAATGCTCCAAGCCACGAGGAGATGGTTGATGAACCTGTGCAGGCAGAATTCTTTCATAAAGATTTAGAGGAACAGACCCAAAGAGTAATCCTAAATATGTATGATTGTCTGAAAAACGAAAATCCAGATTCCTCGCAAAATCAAATTTTAAACAGAATTTGTATCCTGACAAAAATCAGTCGGTCAACCATTTATCGGGTTATAAAAAGGGGAGATGTAGTCAACCATTCCTTCCACAGAAAGCGCATAGGGCAAAAATTAAAAAGAATAGACGTGGGTTTTCAGGAAGATATTCGTCGTATAATATACGGATTTTATAAAGAAAATTTGGTGCCCACGTTGGAAATGATACGGGATGAATTAAAAGATTATCCTGAAGATTTTTATAATTACAAATGCTTAGACTCACTGCACTGTATTGTAAAACTGTGTGGTTTTCAATACAAAAAATTAGATAAAAGAATGGTGATTATGGAGTCGTCTCGAATCGTTGAATTGCGCCAAGAATTTTTGCACAAAGTTAAAATCTATAGGGAGCAGAAAAGAAATCTGATTTACCTGGATGAAACGTGGTATGATACCCATGATGTTGTGCAGTACGGCTGGGTTGACGACAGCAACAAGTGCATTTTAAATGCACCATGCAACCGTGGAAAACGAATCATTATTCTCCATGCTGGCAGTGAAAATGGATTTATACCTAATGCCTTGCTGTTATCTGCCAAAAATATCAAAGAATCATGTGCCGACTATCATGAGGACATGACCTCCGACTTATTTGAAAAGTGGATAGAGCAGCAGTTAATACCAAACATTTCCCCAAATTCAGTGATTATTATGGACAATGCGCCATACCATTCAAGACATTATTGATTTTATGAAGGATAAGGGAATGGAAATACCACAAAAATCAACCAAAGCCATATTATTGGATCTTATTAAAAGACAAAAATTTGAAAAAGAGTATGTTGTTGACAATCTGCTTCAGCAAAATGGCCATGAAGTATTACGTCTACCTCCCTATTACTGCATTTTTAACCCGATTGAGTTGGTCTGGGCTGCTTTAAAAAAAAAGTAAGAAAACATAATCAGACCCCTCAATTAAGTGAATCGCTATTGGCCACAATAAGAAATGCAGTATCTCATATTGCTGCCACAGACCTATGGAAGCAGTGTTCTAGGCATATTATTGAAAAAGAAAATGAATATTGTCTTTTGCCTCCTGTAAATCCCGTTGTAATTCCTCTACAAGATGACTCTAGCGACAGCTCCGAAGGCGAGGATGATATATAAATACCTATAATGTAAGTCTTTATATACCTACCTGCTATGTAAATATTTGCCTATGTCAAACGTTGGAATTCTGTAATTTTTACATTTCTTAACTTTCAGTCAACATAAATTAAACTCCCAATATAAGTATTTTTTATCCCAAATCAAAAAAATAAGAAGATAGTAAAATCCATTTATTGTGATATAAAAACATTATTATTATCGTTCTAAATAAATGACCGCACGCCTATGATACGTCATGAAGTTACAAAGGACGCGCCGACCAAAGGTTTTTATGCTATTTCAAGTGACTTCAGATACACCATACAGTGCTGCGTTTTGGAAGCATCAAACTGCACAATATTGTTGCGTCCTCAAGAAGTGATAACGTACAGTCGCTGCTAGTCTCCTTTTTTCCAGCTCACCGGCAAAGATCAAAGCAAAGCTGTGCAGCGGATTGATCGTACAGGAAAGGAGGTCGTTGATATGTAAAAAGAACAGTGTCGGACCCAAAACCGATCCCTGGAGAGCAACCGCGTTGACGTTGTCTGCAAAGCTTTTCTGGGAGGTCATGGGATGGAAGTTTGCATAGGAGCCTCACCATATAAGACCGAATGAACTTACTCCACAATTGCGCGACGTAAGCTAGTAGGTCAACTGCGGATCGCTGGTGCCAGAAACGATACTGCCTGACGCTAATGACGCCGTGACGTTCGAGGTAGTCCAGAAAGTCGCGATCCATCACCTTACTTATAATAGAAAGCAGAGCTATAGACCTGTTGTAAGGGTCGGTCTTGAATCTCTTTTTTAGGATAGGATGGACATGAGCAAATTCCCAGTTTTCTGGGAAGGTGTCGGATTCGGAAGACATCCGGAAGAGACGCGAAAAGCTGGAGCAGGCACGTTTGCTGCACACCTCTTCAATAGAACGGCAGAAGCTTTGTTGATGTCGAGTGACAAGAGTACCCGTCTTACGGTCTTATATATGCCTGAATGTTACTTGCCGCATAGTGCAAGTGGTGGAAGGCTACTGTGTGAAAAGTTCTATTCAATCTGCTTGGCCAGCGTCCAGAAAGATCGACTGCAAGTGCGCTGTGACATTACCCTGTGCCTAACTTTTATATCGTGATGGTCTTTGGCATTGCGGACGGCTTCGTTATATTTGTGTCTGGACCCACCAATACACTACTATGTCTTAGTTTAATCAACGAGACACCATAAACTTGTATGCTATTCGTATATCATTGGGATTGGGCTACAATAAAATAATAACGGTTATCACATGTATACTAAAATTTTAATCTTTGCGCTGAAAATATCAAATGCAACCTATCCAAATCGCTAAAAAAATGAAACTCGTCAAAAGTTGCATGTGTTCCTAAACATTATCTTTAACTTGAGAACTTCATTTTCTAATTTTGAATAGTCTGCATATTTTTGTTAAAAGGACGTTAACTATTTTGTGTATGTTTCCCGATCTTATATAGTTTAAATTTAAACGATCTACTAGGCAGCTTTTAAGCTCCAGTTTGCCAATTCGACCGAATTATCCAACCTCGACCTAGACAACGCATCCAAAACAAGGTGCATCTTAACCTAACATCAGGGCAAGGCAACAAAGCAGCAGCAATACATACTTCTCGTATCGATCCGAATCTATCCAGAAGCGATCATATCCCAATGAACCAAACGCAGATGTGATTCCACACTGAAAAGTGCCACACACACTCTCCCTGCGAACCGTTAAATCTCTCGTTTGGCGTTCGAGCCGAATCGAAATCGCGTGTGGCTTTGCGCACGGTTTAGACACGCCGCGTTCAACGGAAACCGTCTCGCTTTAAACTGAAACAAATGAAAGCCGACGACGCAGCTGACGCCGACGCGACGCGGCCGACGCCGAGGTCAGTTCACCACCATGCTCGGAGGCTAGGCCTGGTAGTCCGGTACTGAAGGACCAAAAGCTCGGAAAAATAACATGAGAAGCTACTAAACTTTTTCTACAATTTCTAATTTGTTATGTCAATTTCGAACACCCCGAATACTCGGCAACCACACATTTATTAAAAGTTCAGCAATTTGTCGATAGCCTGAAAAATGACCTAGATAATGAACTTAAAGGTGTCATTTGGAGGTCACGTTTGAAAATTTGAATTACAAACACCATTTTCGACAGCAGATTCGTGTAGCGATCTTACATTTTTTTGACAGGGTAAAGCTTTCATAGTTGTAATCTATTCGCACCGCTCAATACAAGTTTCCACATCGAGTATCAGCCGTCTGGTCCATGCACCATGGCCAGTTGTATCCCGTCTCCCCTGCCATGTGAAAAAAGCGCTTCTCTTTCGTCGCTTTTTTTTTTTTTTGGTGAGGGGGGAATGCGTTTACGCACCATACCATAGCCCGAGCTACGGCGTGTGTGGGACTCCAGGTTGTCTTGAGGAGACCACCTAATACCCACTAAACCCTAACCTCCGCGTGGCCCGACTCATCAGCGTCTCGGTAGGCCATGTGTTGTGCGTGACCTGCGGTCTGCTACAACGTCTCCTCATGTGTTTCAGTCTCTGGGAACGCCAGGTTGATTCCCTTTACCTCGCACATTCTATCGATGTCGTTAAGCGATCATCGATAGAGGGTCTGCTAGGTTCTCTTGAAACTCTTGTTTTCGAAAAATCAAGAGTTTCAAGTCCTCTTACCTATATATTGTTCCTGGTCCTGGTCCTGAAGGGTCCTGGTCCTGGTGGGTCCTGGTCGTGGCGGGTCCTGGTCCTAGTTGGTCCTGGTCCCGGAGGGTCCTGGTCCTGGTGGTTCCTGGTCCTCTGCATCCACGCCGTGGGGGGGGGAGCAACCGCGGGTTCTCCTAGTCTCCTAGTCAAGGTTCCAGTTAGCGGGTGCCAACTGGGACCTTGGTCTAGGGTACCTGGTTCTGCGGTTGCGAGGCCTCTCGTCCAGATCGTAGTCCATGAGGAATCGTAGCTGCTCGTTCGGGTGGTCCTGAGCTTTCTGGAAGGTCTTCTCCGCTTTTTTCCTCATGTACTCGTGAATGGTGTCCCAATGCAGGTCTCTACGCAAGGTTGAGTTTCTTACGTAGGATGGTGCACTGGTGGCGATCCGGAGTAGCTTCATCTCTAGAGCAGCAAGTCGCTTGCGGTAGCTGGGGGCAGCGTACCCCCAGACCGCGGAGGCGTAAGCGAGCTGAGGTCTGGCGATGGCCTTGATCAGCCGTAGCTTGGTCGCTAGCGGCATCCGGCTGTGTCTACCCAGTAATGGGTAGAGTTGAGCCATGGCTGCTCTGGTCTTTGCGATGACAGCTTCTATGTGGACTTATCAAATACGATCCCCAGATATTTGACTTTGTCGCTCCACTGGATATCTTCGTCGAAGGTGGATGCTTCGAGAGGTCTTGCAATCCTTCTTCGTTGAATGAAGATTGCCTGCGTCTTCTGGACGTTGATGCGGATTTTCCATTTCACGCACCAGTCCTGGATGTGGTCCAGTTCATTCTGTAGTATCCTACGGATGATCTCGGGTCGTCGATGCTTGGCGGCTATAGCAGTGTCGTCTGCATATAGGGCCAGCATTGTGTCAGCTGTCTTCGGTACATCGTGAGTATAGATGTTGTAGAGCAGGGGGGCTAAGGCTGACCCCTGGGGCACGCCTGCTTCCAGCTGTCGTCTTGTTGAGTGGCATGTACCAATCTTCACCATGAACCATCTTTGTGTTAGATAGCTCTGGATCAGTTGGCACATGTTCGCATCGATTCCGGCGGCTTCCATTTTGGCGATGAGTCCATCGTGCCAAACTCGATCGAAGGCTCGTTTCACGGCCATCAGGACAAGGCCGGTTGCCTCCTGGAGATTGAAGCCGCTGGTGATGTTTTCTGTCAGTCGTAGCGCTTAGAGTTCCGTGTTGTGGGAGGATCTGAAGCCGAATTGCTCTGGGGGGAGAAGTTGCAGTTCTTCTGCCTGCTTCTCTAGTCGAACGGCGATGGCCTTTTCGACTACTTTGCCCATCGAGGAAACCAGGCTGATGGGCCGGTAGTTCTGGGGCAACTTCCGGTCCTTGCCTGGCTTGGTGAGCATTATAACCTGGGCTTCCCGCCACCGCCGCGGGAAGTGGTTAAGTCTCAGAGTGGCATTGGCGATGTTGGTGAGCGCAGCAATGCCTTTGGAGGGAAGGTTCTTCAGCATCCTGTTGTTGATGCCGTCCCTTCCCGGTTCGTCGCTTGCAGCTTTGACGTCCTTTTTATAGGGCCGCCAGCAGATCAATTGACAGGATACCAGCGACCACCAGTAGCGTATCGGTCGACACCGTTCTGTAAGCGCATACCACGCGCAGCACCACTTTTCGCTGGCTCTCAGTATTAGCTGTCTCTATTTCTCCCTCCTCAAGGACTTGTCAGATATAGGAGCTCCGTACAGCATGATCGAGTTTCCTACCCCTGTTAAAATTCGGCGCCTCTCATTCCTCCCCGATAGCACGAGATATTCATTAAACTTTATTCAACATTTAATATTTTTATCTATCTTAAATATTTGTCATCTTGAACAAATATTGAACCAATGGCATAATGGCAAGCCGACCTGAGCCGACCCGTTTTACGGCACCCATTTTGCCACTATGATAGCGTGCTTCCTGCGTAACTCCAACTGGTACATTATTTGAGTGTTTTTTGTGGAACGAGGGAAATTTTGCGATAATTACATAGCTTAATTTATCTGGATAGTAGACATTATTGTGCCAGTTAAGCGTAAATGTACGCGGTTACAGAACCATAAATAACTAGCCTTGAAGTGTAACAGTTATTTGCGATTTGGGATTGGTGGATTTATCTGAAAATGGGTACGAAAATTATGTTCGTAAAATCCCAATGAAAATTCATATAATCACAACCTAATCGAGAGACATCGAAAACGTTTTTTTTTTTAAATATCTCAATTATTTTTATTTGGTTACTGAGTAGCTCACAAGACTCCGAGCTGTGAACACCTTCTGAAGATGCCAACCACTCGTGTTGGCAAAACGTCAAATAAAATGGCGGCAAAACAACCCAAAAACCAACCAAATAACATTGAATGATGAACTGTTATAAAATTTTTAAGTTCAACAGCGACGTTCCAAAATTTTAACAGTCGAAAATACTATATTGTTGTCTCTTGAATTATAATATAAAATCACTACTACTTTTGCAAAAAAGTCACATTTCAACAAAATGAATAAGTGGTCTATTTTTAAAAACCTTTTCTTTGAAAGTTAGTCGAAGAATCAAGTTGTCCTTATGGACATTATTCATCAAGATGTCTAAAATAACATACCAAATTTTTCTAAAACTTTACCAAGTCTCAACTCTCAAAGAAAAAAAATGAGGGGTCATTTTAAGTGCATTATAGAGCTACTTTCCAGTGAATCAGTTTAGCTACTCGGAGTAACTCAGCAGTGCTCACCACCAATATTGTTCCACTGCTTTTTATATTCCCATAAATACACTTTCTAGAGTAGTTCAGGAGAATATCTCTCTCAAGAAACGACCACTGGAAAGCAGCTTATGTACTCAATAATACTTCAAAATTAGTTTTTTTTTTCAGAGGAGTAGATTTGCAAGATGCACAAGAGGCTTAGAATGTTTTCTTAATGATATTATTCTAGCAAATTAAACCATTATATCTAGAATTTTATTTCCCTACGCGTTAGTTATTAGTGCACTTCCAACCCCGATAATTCTACGCATTTATTAGAACTATTTTAAATATCATAGATTTCCTGGTACATTTGCTATTAAAACTAAAATGTGTTTAGCAAAAGAATCCCGTACCTATCCGCGCACTTCCTGTGCGCCACGGGGTTGTATATATTGCATCTTCAAAAAGCAGGTAACAGACGGCGCCGTGACATACGAGGTGGGCGCGATATTATCTGTACATCCGGGCACTATGCTTAGAGTGCAATTTAATGAGGTTATTTGATTTCGCGAGGTAATATTACTTAGTATACAGGGTGGCGCGACGAAAACGAAACAGACGCATTTACTGGCAGCTCAGTTTTTTTTTGAAAAACGCTCAGACCTGTCGATTTCGGCGAAAAATCACGTGCAGCCCCCTGGGCGGGGGTGACACCAACCCTAAAATCTTAAATGGAAAGGGGGGTCGAGTGATACCTTATTTTAAAGGGCTTTCAATTCCCTTTATAATGATGTAAAATACATGAGCTTCAGTTTAGTAGTTTTGAAGATTTATTCATTTAAAGCTTAAAGTAGACTTTAATAGGTACTTCAGATTAGTTTGTACTACTTTCAGAAGAAATTTGACTAAAAGAATTTACTTAATAAGAAAATGCTTTTTTTCACTACGTCCGTGGTTTGTTTATCATTTTGTTGTTGAAAATAGCTATTGGAGCGTTTTTGTGGCAAAAAAGTTGAAAGAGTTGAAATTATCGAAATATTTTTCGGAAATAATCAGTGCGCTAATAGAACAGCAGAAATATTTAATGAGCGACATGAGAACAGTAACGTGCATCGAAAATATGTTCTAGAATTTGTAGCTAAATTTCGGAAAACTGGGTCAGTCGCCAATAAAAAACGCAACATTGAAAATCCCATAAGGAACGAAGCAATAGAAGTGGGGGTTTTAGGGCAAGTTTATGTAGATCCTACGTTAAGTACCCGCAAATTGGAGACTGTATGTGGTGTTAGTCGACGTACTGTCCAACGGATGTGCGTGTGTGATGTGCCCACCGGTACTGACACGTTCTTTGCTGCAATCTGAGGAATTTCTTTTTCAAGAAAAGCCCAAATAGTGCACTAAATTTTCTATACCTACGTCTTTTTGATGACATTACA